TTTCAGGGTTTAATGCCTTTCCTCTTCACACTTTCAGGGTAAAATGCCTTTTCTCGTGAGGTTGCAGTATCTGATATAAATATCACAGCAGTTACCGAAGTCAGACTGAACTCTTCATTCTTCTACCTCACCTTGACAACTTTCTGATGAATCAGTGTGAAGTATCTATTGTCCAACTAAATATACATGAATAGCAGCACAATGCGTGTCCATGGTGTAAAGGTCTCTCACCAAAGCATAGGTCCCAAAGGCCTTGTCAACGCTAGTTCCAAATATGGGGCTATTAGTTCCTTACACAAGTCGTACCCAAATCCATTTGGTCCATATTTGAAGAATTTCCCCAAATCCATATGGATTTTATGTCATTTAACACATGTTAACAGTTAAGCCAGATTATATTTTCTTCTGATGCTTTTGACCTTTTTCTTGAAACACCCAGGTTGCATAAACTCTGGAAAATCTGCTTCATGGCACCCAGCAGTCAATAAGTGTTGCATTTGTAACTCTATATGAGTCCATATATGACGAACCACTGACTCTGTCAGAAGCCAACCATCCAAATTGTCCTTTTGATATCATCATGGCCTTAGATATTTCATTATATATGTAGTTCCAGCTGGAAGACGTTTTGGTCTGTATAATTCTTTGATTAATTTCACAGTCTAGAGAAATGATAAGTAAATTCTTGTCAATTTCAAATTTTGTCAATTTCAAGTTTTGTCAAAAATTGTCAAGACTTCCCTGTATAATTGATGCATGCGTTTTACCTTTGGAATTTGGGATGAAGTCATTCCCTCCTATACACAGGTAAACAGCAAGATGTTCTGCCATATACTTCACCCCTGAATTAAGACAGCATTTGTCACAGCCTTGCTGAGGATTAGGTACAGTGGATAGAGAAAACAACCAGTTTCATCTCTGTGCCATTTAGGGAATTAAAGAAGAGGTGGATAACTAGCGCATCTATATCCCCTGATGTCACAGCTGGCAACAGCTTGTCCTTGGATATGGTCCGTGGAGCTGAGGAGCCAATCAGCTAAAGCCATCTCGCCCTGCCCCTTGATTGCCGCTATACACACTCTCAATGGGAACGGCATATTTTGTTTCACACGTGCATGTTTCTGTCTTGCATGACGAGGAATGGCCATCAAGATGCAGTTCACTGTCAAATGTAATTGTAATATTCTTATGAAGAATTAACTTATGTGCATTTTTTTCTAGCCACTTGCTCATGTGTGCACGGCCTGTGGTTGTTCTCACCATCGTTTTGGGTGCAACGGTATCACCATTAATATTTTCATTTAGAAGTTGACTAATAAAGTGTGCCTGAGACAGCATATTCTTAGCCTTGTGTTTACTCCTAGTTGCTGCCTTGAAGATATCGGGGGTGAAGCTATACTTTTCTTCACATTCAACTAACTTCTTTGCTTCAGGGAAAGTTGCCATCACTGGTCTAATGACACTTGAATCTACACTTTTAAGGTATTCTGCCACAGATGAACTGTTTATCTTGGTCAAGGTCAAAGGTTAAAGTCAAAGGTCAAAATCTAGGTCGAATCAAAGCTTTTTTCCCGTTTCTCAAATCCTGACACTACACTTCAATATATTTGCCTGAATTTGTGCATACAGATATATAGAGGATGTTCTTTTTATTCCATAGTTAAAGTCATCATTAGAATCGTCAGGAATTAAGTGATTTAAAACGAATTTTCGAAACAATCTAGCGATATTGACACTTAGCCTCGTTCTGAGTCTGAAGTAGCAAAAATCCATAATTCATAGCATACGGCGCCGTATGTCATGGCTAAAACACCGTATGCTATGGTTAAGTGAAAATTTGTCAAAAATATCATATTTTACCATTGATTACAAAAATACCGTTTGTATTTTGACATGTTATCCTATGGATATCATGCTAACAATAGAATAAATATTAGTATTCTATTAGTCTAAGCCTTTTGCCATCTAGACTAATTTTGAGATTTTGAAGGTCAAGAAAGGTATTTTTTCAACTTGCTTCAAATGACCTAATTTTTTTAAACATGATCTACATGTCTTCAAGAGTTGAAATCCGACCATCACTTTTGACCTTTGACCTTGACTTGACCTTCAGACCTTCAAAAGTAGGTCAACCATGACACACCATATGTTTAAAATTTATGTAACTAGATTACAAATAAACATGTAAGGGTACATAAATATAATAAGGAAGCTGGTACAATAAATATGGATATTAACCACTAAAACTCATAAATGTCAGTAAAAACACATATTTCTAATGTCTGCATGTAATTAATATGGGGCGTTTCATGTGACACTTCTGAAAAATTTTCCTTGAGTTTTAAGTACAAAATAAATTGCCCAATTACATATTAAATAAACAATGAAATAGCTACAAACATGAGGCCGAACATACATACATAAAGCATATCAGTAGCCAGCGCTGTTAGAGCATCTAAGATGTTTTAAATGACCATAAAATTAATAAATAGAACAAACTGTCATACCTGAAAAATGTGTAAAATACAAAAATTAAGAAAATATTTTCCCTGGTTTGTTACACCATCCTTCTTTTGAGGAAATGTCCATCCCGGAAATTGACACTTTAAAGCATATGAATATAATACAATGTTCAATAAAATAAATAAAGTCCTACTGCTGGCTCTTCAGATTTTAGATGCATATATCTTTGAGTAATCCACTGGTATAATTTGTTGTCCATTTGGCATAGAATATGCCACAAGATCAGCATGTTGGTGGTTGGTTTAGTAGGGAAGTCCTGAACATCAATTTGCGTGTTATTGTCCTTATTTCTTGAGTGTGCTTGAGAGTATTTGTTTATCACTATTGTGTTCGTAGCTGTGGTGGTAGAAAGTGTTGGCTTGGGTGCACTTGAAGTAATTGGTTTGCCAGAGACATCTTTGGTATCCAAACAGTCAATTTCATCTTCCTTGTTTGAAGTCCTTGGTTGGATCGGAATGATTGTAGTTCGTTCTTCTTGTGAGTCCTCTAAAGCATATACAGTTTGGGCCAAAAAAACAATACCAAACTTCAAATCAGGATAAAAATAATTATGTTCAATATGGTACATTGTATTGTATATCATTTTAAAGGTAATACATTTTCAAACAATTTGGTATATAACACTATGTCATACAATTAATAGTAAAGGTATTTTATACTTATTTGGGAGGACGGGTTGCTATTTAGGGTTTCTATATTTTGGGGAGAAAATAGTTAATCTTCGGGATTATGTTAATTTTCTATTTATAGAATATCATTTTGTTAGATGAATACATGCCACTATATTTGCATCATTGTGTGACTAAACCTATTGTTTATGAATTTAAGTATTTGTTAATAACATTTTACACTTAATAACAATTTTAGCAATTGCTCAATATGCCCCCCCCCTCTCTCTATGTCGACAATAAGCTTCAAGCGGTAGCGCCATCTATCAATAGCCTTATTGACAGATTTCTGTTGCAATTCATTTCAGCACTTTTGGTTTCTGTGTGTTCAGCTCATCAATACTGTTTTTTGGATGCTTGTGATTTAACCATTTCCCCAAGATGGCACCATTTATGGTAATCAACCACATTAGCATCGGGGCTGTTGGGTGGCCAAGCATCTAGATCAATCAAATTGACACCTTGTTCGCAAAGAAATGCCAATGTTTCCTTAAATCTATGGTAAGAGCCAAACAATGTCTTGCTAAAAAAAAAATCCTGACCATATTTACATTTTATATCTTTTAACATACCCCTTTTGAGTACTTATTGATAATAAACAACACTGATATTCATAAACAATAAGTTAGTAACACAATTATGCAAATAATCGAGGATGTATTCGCCTTGAAAATATTTAAAATTATATTGTGTAAAAAGTTAAAATAATCCCGCAGATTTACTATTTTCTCCCTAAAATCTAGAGACCCTAAATAGCAACCCTACCTCCCAAATAAGTATAATAAAACTTAACTATTGATTTCATGACATAGTGCTATATATCAAATTGTTTGAAAACGAATTACATTAAAAACGATACATGAGTCTATGTACCATATTGAACGTAACTATTTTTATCTGGATTTGAAGTTGGGTATTGTTTTTTTAGCCAATCCTGTAGGTGTATCGCTTACATATCCGCACTCTTGTCCAAATGCTTCATCGGCATTAAGAGTCCTTCTTTGCTTGACTTTTTTTTACAGTTTCTTTCATTATTTCAGTGAAAGTTCAATCGCAGATTTTCTAAGGAATGCCAATGTTTCCTTAAATCTATGGTATGAGGCAAACAATGTCTTGTTGAAAAATAAAATCATTGTTTAGATTAGTGAAAATATCATCTATTAATGTTGCAGAATGTGATGTAACTCGTGTTGGCCAACACGTACATGTATATTAAGGGTTGGTGATTGAATGATTCCATAAGGTTTAAAAATTCTCTCAATGCATGATAGGATTCACATTTGAATAGATCAATTTTAAAATCTCCAGTTACAATTGAATATTTATTTTCAGATGTTATGAAGTTATGTTGTCATGAAGTGATTAAGATTTTGATTAAAGTTTTCAATGTTTACATTTGGCAGTTTATAGATGATGCTTACAATTATGTTCTTGGAATTGGAATTAATAATTTCAATGGAAATTGATTCACAAAATTCATCATTTAATTTAAGATCTTGACGAAGTTTATAATTTATATTATTTTTGATAAAAATAGCTACCCCGCTACCTTCTTTATTTATACGAGATGAAATTCAGCATTGTAGTTGGGTAGAAGGGCCGGTTTTTTTATGGTTTATGTCGATCTTTGTGATGATGAATTGCGTCTTCTTGGTTTGTTTTCGAACGCTGAGTTGCGAAGGTTCTTGGTGGTTAACTCTGCTGCCTCTTCGCTGGTGGTAGTAGCCAGTTGCATAGTAAGTGATGTTATTTCTTGCTTGAAAAATTCGAGTGGGTTCTGGCTGTGAAGTTCGGCAGCTGTCGTCAGTTCCTCGTTGCATTTGTACAGTATGGTGTCAAACACTTCTGCTATGTCGGATTTGTCTTTTTCCGGCACGTTGCAGGGTATCTTGGGGATAAGGCCATTGGGTATTCCCTCTGGTGAATTGTTGATGCTGTTGAGTGCTCCTTGGTGGCGAGCCTCTCAGTGGGTTGCTTTTCTTAGGTTCTCCAGCACAATTCTGTCTGCTTTGGCTGTAGGCAGTTTGTTTGGCGTTCTTCGTGATTTGAGGCCTAGAGTATCCATGATGTTAGTTGGTTTCTTTGATATTTGGTATGGCGTTATCCTGGATGTGTTTGTGTTGGTTCTACCCTTGGTTTTTGGTCTGCCATTGGTTAGGGTGTGGGTTTTGTTGTCCTGTTGGCTGTCTGGTATGCTTCTGATGTTGTTGATGGGATCTGCCTGGCTGCCGTTGAGGTCCCCGTCGTACGAATCATAGTCTTCTTTTTGGGATTGATATCCTACCATCTCGTCTAAGTGTGGTTGCTCTGTGTTGTTCATGCTGATTGTTTGGTTGTGTTGGTTCTCACTAAAAATCTCACTCTTTTGTAATTACATTTTTTATACTAATATATAAGCATTAGTGCCAAAGGGAAAGGACCAAAAGTTGTAATGGAACTTAGTATCAAAGTAATTAATAGTATGAGATTAAAAATATAATTGACAGCTAGACACATAAAATTACTTAACTCATTGGCGCGCTATTTAATTATTTTTAAAAGCTACTGAGCGTTAATTAATTTATTAAGGATTAGGATTTTCATGCCTGCCAATTTGAAAGTGACATAAAATCTCAACCAACAGAGATAACACCACCAAATTTTTACTCATGATTAGAAACATATGTATAAATCATATGTTAATGTATGAACTCATCACAATGAGAGGCACTGATGATAAAAAATCCTAAACATGTATATTTCAAAAAAAACATAAGAACCCTACTAAATATTACCTTGGTGTACCCCAGCAGCTTTCCTGGCCTGTCCCCCAGCCACAGAGTTGTCAGGCCCATCATCGTTTTGAAATTTCATTTTCTGAGGCTTCAAATATTAGGCTTCACTACAAGAATCGCTGAATATAGCAGCGATTTGATCATCATTACCCAGTCTAAATCAAGTGCTTTTTAAATACCACAATGTCTGATCACTTCCAGATTCGTATTTATTTCGAAATAAAGCAATAAGTGACCAAAATAATTTTTTTCAATCATTTCCCTTCGCAAAATTAATTTTAAATCACTTCCTGTCAATGTGAGTACCAAACATTGGCACTGCAATACTAGGGTGACATCTTTCTAAGTCTGTTAAAACTTCCCTATAGCTTGTCGACCTGAAGTCGACATACGCCATTAAGCGTATTGGCGAAAAAAGTCGCCTGAGTGAGTTAATCATAGTGATATGTTCATTATAATTCTCCATTCACTCTTACATCATTATAATCTGGACATCTTGTCAACAGTATAGTAGGAAGGGAACGTGTCTAAGGATTTACAAAATTATATTTTATATTAAACTTCTTTTAAATAATTATAAGAAATTAAAAAAATTACATTACACTTACAGTAAAACCTTTTCACTAACCTAATCAACAAGACGAACACTTTAATAATAACAAAGTATTGACAGTGTAAGCAATGGTGCTAGCAGTTTCTGATTACACCATTACATAATGTAGACAGAATTTTGGGAAGAGGTATATTTAGACATGTACCTGTAAATGCTGCTTCTACATCCCTCTTCCAGATGAATAATTGTTTGTCGAAGTCAGTAATTATAATGTCAATATCTCTGACAGCTGTCATTTGGGAAACCGACAAACCCATATTATTGAACATTTGGAATACCTATAATTATAAGTAAAACTTGGTGTCACGGAATAGCTTATATAAAATGTGACAATTTTTAAAAATCTTGAATTAGCAATATGAAATAGAAATATTTCTAGTATTATCTCCAATTATATAATGTATGTTACATTACATTACGTTTTATCACCAAAAACAGGTTACTCTGAAACAAGCTTTGGTTTGTGGTCACTTTATTTAGAATACTACGAGTACATAATTAGGTGATCTACTGTGAATGACTGTGAAAGTGTGACCAAAACATACAATACATATTGCGCATCATTTTAAAAGTTATCCGATTGATATTAAGGTGGTTGGTCACCATTAAAACCAAAAATGCTATTCGACTGAAGTTGATGCCCATTGGAAAGGTATGTACCTACCTCTCAACCTATCAGTTCACAATAAAATAGACTCTAGTACAGTATGGAAGACGTTAACCATAAAACATTTTTATTCAAAATTATTGAATTTAGTAATCTCCCAAGCCCAGAACATATAATTGAAAAAAAAGCCAAAGATCCAGATTTGGCTTTGCTGATCGCCTTATGAATGAAGATTGCATCCAATTATTTGGTTGTTATCATTAAATTAATATTATAATTAAATTCTCAATCTTTCTTAGATGATACTTGACATAATAGTACTATCAGATTTCTCGTTTATGTTTTAAAGTTTGTTATGTTATCACCACAAGTAATAAACTAGTAATTTATGAAATCAGTCAACATTTTTTAAATTACATGGCCTAACATGGGAGTGCAGTATAGATTTGATTTTATTTTTTGATAAGAATACAATATGTCGTTTGTTTATATAGGGGCGAGACGTCTTTGGTTGACACTTTACTTAAGTCGAGCCTACTGCCTATGATTAGTGACAATATTTCAAGTTTATATATAAAAAGCAGGTAACTCTATTTTGGCTGTTATTAGCCCGCAATAAAATACAAAGTAAATAAAAAATGTCTCTGGCTTTGTGTGGACCCTATATCTCCAGTGTCTTTGAATCAATATTATCTTGCCACCAAATATATTGTATTCTACTTCAATGTCTATAACTATGGTTCTCTCTATCCCTCTGGAATTCTGCTAAAGCGTCTGGTTTTCTGTATCTCCATCTAGCTGGGATTCTGATGTAAATGTCTAACTCTGTATCTCTATCTATTTCTCGGATTCTCCTGTAGGTCTGGAATTTTCTAGCCTTCTGTCTATCTAGACAGCAAGGCTCTTTACACAGCCAAAAATGATGTAGTATTCAACCTGGATACTCACTGGATATTATATGAATATGGAACGTTTCCATAAGAATCCTTGATAAATACTACAAGTATAATGATTTTGGATATTCATGAATATTAGTGAGAGACGGAACAGTGGTATCCTGGAATATCTGGTGTTTTGGATACTTCTGATATACGTCTCGTTTTTAAACGGAATCTTAAGGAACTGACTAACATACAACTCGGATACTCATCAATACATCTGATAACTTGACTATTTTTTTTCAGGATATGTATGGATACTGTCAACATATTTTGCAGAATATTTGTGGATATTGTCGTATTCCTGACATATCATTAAGGATATGAGCGATATTTTCAGTCGTTTGGTACACATTTCTTCACAAACTTAACACGAAAATTGCATTAATACAGTAATTTATTTTATTTTATTATCATAAATGAAAAGTACAATTCAAATAAAAGCATAAAGAGGTATACACACACTCAACATGTATACTCACGCATCTCTTCAAATTGGTGTCATAACATGTAAATATTCAACAATAAGAAGGTTACATCATCTGTTCTCTGAAGCAGTTGATGCAAAATAATAAGACTGTTATGTGAAGATACTTATATATCTTTTAAAATACTTTCAGATTCTGTTGATAGATGTCGCTTATAAGTAATGACTGTTAAGGAGTTGAAATCGTAAAATGTGTCTTATTCAAATATAGGTGGCGTGATTATTTTGTCTGATATCAGTTTGTATAGATACATTTATAAAATATGGCACTTTATAAATAGTATTTATACTCACTAAACCATGTAAACCATTTTATTCCTATTGCTTACGTTTTCAATCTCAACCCGTTCATTTTCATTTCAATCTCTTATGCTTATTAAATTACTATCTTTTAATACATTTGTATACACCTATATTACTATTTGTTACATTTTCATTCTCTCAAAAGTAACATATATTACTGCATTATACACTATTTCTAATTTCTTTACATTATTATTCCTATTGCTTCCCTCTATGTATTTCCCTTTTAAACTTTTTAACCCGAACGCACTTTTATTCCAATTTCTTGACATTAAGTTCACATCGTTTATAAACATTCCCATTCAAACAGCCTTTTTTGACTTTTTAGATTTTTGAGTACCTGAACTGCCTGATCGGCACTTTTGAGACATTTTAAGTTGTTCTGAATTTAGTCTAACAATGCTTCTATTGAAGGGATCTTCGTCAATGTACCAAGGCTTTGGTGGGCTCTATGTACAGCTCTCTGTAACAGAGAAAACAGAGAATTTTAAGAGTATAATATTCAAGGTTGAAGAAATATTAATTATAACAATCGTCTAATTTTTATGATTTTATTAATTTATGAATATAAGATTTTATGAATATATAACAGTGTTGCTGGAACACTAAACTTAAATCCAGCTTTTATTCTTGAATCTCTCCCATCATGGCCCCCTGATTAGCTGAAATATTTTCCATTTTTAGTGACATTGCTTCCAGGGCCCTGAAAAACCAATACACACGTTAAAGGAATATACATCTATGCCGCGATTATCGACGTGCAATACCATGCATTGTTTTGAGAGGGGACATAGCCAAGATTTTTCCAAGTGGGGCTCTATCTTTTTGAAATTTCGAGTAAATATTTGCGTGCGCATGGGACATGCACTTTACCTTCAATTAAAAACTAAAAAATAGAATGCCGACAAAGCAAACTCTGAAATGGAATGCCCACAAAGCAAACCCTAAAATGGAATGCCTACAAAGTAATCTTTGAAATGGAATGCCTACAAAGTAATCTCTGAAATGGAATGCCTCTGAAATGGAATGCCTACAAAGCAAACCATGAAATTGAATACCTACAAAGTAATCTCTGAAATGGAATACCTAGGAAGTAATCTCTGAAATGGAATGCCTACAAAGAAATATCCAAAATGGAATACCTACAAAGTATGTAATATCTGAAATGGAATACCTACAAAGTAATCTCTGAAATGGAATGCCTACAAAGCAGCACACGGAAAATGGGCAAAGTCATCTGTAGACAATCAAAGTTGGTACCACTTCTGAAAATATACAAAAATTCTGAATATATGAGCACAAAAGCCAAAGGGAAGGGTGACTAAAAACTTTAAAGAAACCCAACAAGAAAAGCAAACTGTAAGTGTAAATCTGTCATAAAAAAAGTAGACCCTTTATATCCCAAAACCATGATCTAACGTGAAAAGAAACAATGTCTAACATCCCCCTCCCCCTCCAATCGAGAACCAATTTCACAATCCAGGACCAGAACACCAAGGGACATTTCATTCATACTAAAGTCATTACAATACATGTTAAAGAAAAATTGAAAAAATTAATAGCCAAAATCAAAAATAGTTGTAGATACTAGTACTCATAAAAGATAGAGCACTCATTCTCAAATGATGTGGGATACATAAAATCCAGTCTCAAAGTCCATAGGCAATTCAAAGGGTCAACATCCATTCGCAAAGCCGTCATCATAATCCATCAGGAGAATAAACAAAAATACACAAGGTTCTCTGCAATTACACAGTCTGGATCACATCTGAAACTATGCAAAGTCAACAAAATTGATGCCATGTTCAGGATCTCGTGGATCGCACACACTAGTTCCATCATTGGATTCTATCAAACTTCCACCTGACTTGGGTCCACTCATGAAGCGAATACATTTTCCATGGAAGAGCCTGTAGCCTACTTTCCAGAATGTTAATGTCTTTATGCTTTATGTGACTAGAGAAAACCATCTCACAATATCCAAAAATAATAGTTGTCCACTGGGAGCCTATTATTAGCAAGTAGATCAAGAAGCATTAAAAACTCGGGACAAAACTTGTTCAATCGCAGGTTTGAAAGAACATCAGGTACAAGTTTTTGTGCTCTCTTCAGATCTCTTTCATAATATGTGTCAGCTGATGATTGAAATAGTGTCTTTTTGGTTTTTTTGATGTGTCTTTTTTTATTGGGTGCATTTTTGTGCAGGTCCCTTAAATT